AGTGGGGGGCATAGCTCAGTGGAACAGTGCTGGTCCAGGGTATGTGAGCGCCTGGGTCGATGCTCCGCACGAGGGGTTGCGCAGGTTGAAGGGATAAAAGACAAATCACAACCTGGACTTACTATGAAGATAGTTTTAACTTTGAAGCTCTCCTTGAAAAGATTTTGGGGCCTTCCTGGGCCATTTCTTAAGAGCTCCGCGGTATGTACTTGTTATTCTATGTACATCCCAAGATTTTCCAGGATACGTGCTTCTAATAAATTCTTTTTACTTATCATTGCCCAACTCTGTTGACTTTTTCATACAATAAAATACCAGGAATAAAATCCCTAGGACAAATTAAGAATGTAAAATACCTCTTAATGCTACTGTTCCAGTTTCTCCAAAAAGTCAGTGTCAGATTGATTCCTAGTTCATGTTTCTAGATGTTACTGTGAAAGGTGTGGTTTCCCCAATTTCTCTCAGTGTGTTTGCCTTGGTGTATAGAAATACTACAGGCTTTTGAGGGTTGACTTGGTATCCAGCTATGCTATTGAATTTGTGTATTAATTCTAGGAGCCTTTCGGTGGAGTTCTTGGGGTCTTCCACGTAGAGTATCATGTCATCTGGGAATAATGATAATTTCACTTCTTAATTTACTCTTCTTACTCTTTTTATCTGTGCCAGGTTATTGGGGTAGGATTGAGAATACATATTTTCTTAGTTATGCTTGATGAATTACTGTATTGAACTGCTTAATGTAGCAGTTTCCTATTCAGTTTTTAAGCTCTTAATCTTAGTTGTGTTGTAACAGAGCTTGGTTCTTTAAAAACACAAAAATAAAATCTGACCTTTAAAAAAATAAATCAGTGTCATATTGAAACTAAAGAGATATAACAGCCAAAAGCCATGTTTGGATTTTGACTGTATCATAATTTGAAAAGGAAAAACAAATTAATAAAAGAGAGTTTTGGTCAGTAGTTATATTAGAATACAGAAAGAATATGAGATGCGATAAAGTTAATATTTTGTGTATAATAATGGTATTAGAATTATCTATTTAACATAGTTATTTTCTGACTATATTTGCTAAAGTCTTACTGACAAAGTTTCATGATACCTAAAATGAAGAAACAAATATCTATCCATAGATAAATATATATATATGCACATATAGAAAAATAGATGGGCTGAAGTAGATAGAAAAAAATGGTTCAATGTTAAAAAATGATTCTAAATGGTATTGAAAATCCCTAAACTATTCTCTCAGTTTTCAATTTATTTGACAATTTTTCATAAATAAAACATTAGAAAATTAATGCATGTACTAAATCAAGTATTATTGTATCAATGTTTTTTTTTTTTCCTAAATAACTATCTAAAAGAATAAAGCACCACTCTCAAGGGTAATACTTTAATACCCTCACTGAAAAGTGTGTAGGTCCGTGAGTTTGTGATTGGTTGCATTGTGACTCACAGGGTTTTTATCCTTTGTTCATCAGTGCTGATTGGTGTACCCTTACGCAAACACTATGTTGGCCATAAAATCTCAGCTTAATTCCTGGCAAAATTAATATCACTCAAATTTTACCTCCTAGTACTGCCATTGCAAATATGAAGTCCTTCTTTTATTTAATTTTAAAAATCATTGGAAAAAAATCCCACTCTTTATACAATCTCTGTTATATTATATTTCAGTGAATTCTTTTACTCCAGACCTATTGTAAAACTTTAGGAGTCCAAAACATTTTACTACACAGCTATAAAAATTATTTGTAGTGACAGTGTATGTGTTACAAGAAATTGTTTTTTATATTTTTATTTAGTGTTTAAATATTCTATTTAGAAGTTTTTTTTTTTTTTTAATTTTTCCTTTTGAGACAGGTTGTTTGTCTCGAAGTTGAAATGATTTTCCCGTCTCAGACTCCTGAATGCTGGGATTAGAGGCATGCACCACCACGCCTGGCCTAGGAGTTCCTCTTCATAATTATACACCTTCAGTTTCTAAGTCAGGCAACTTTTATCTTGAGCTACAATGTATTAAAATTAGTACTTTGCAAAATTCAACTAATACATATCACAGCTACAATTTCATGAACATCCTCATACGTGTCGTTCTTGTTGTTCAGCCTGCTGGTTGACTGGTAATTGTTAGAGAACAAGATAGTTGTATGGCCTAACATGCCTGGTGTTTGGTCAAGAGAAACCTTGACATTTTCAAGATGGCTCCAGGAGTGTTTTTAAATTAATTTATAAAAGTGAAAGCAGACATGTACTTTTCTGTGAAATAATTTCCATCTTATTAAGTCCAGAAGTGTTTTAGTTGTTAGTGATCATTTCATGGAATGTATCTTCTTAAAATTATCCTTACTTTTAATTAGTAATAAATACTGCTCAACATTTTGAGGTAATCTTTCATTCTGCTAATAAGAAATGCTGCATGATGTTTTGAAGAATTTAAAAATGAATTTAAAATACATTTAAGGTGATGTCCTAAATATTGATGTGTTTATTTTCATTTAGTGTACTGGATGGTTAATCAAATATTACTTTTTTCTCATAGATAATACTGCTTATGATAGTGAAAATATTATAGCATGTCTTGACGGACACATCCTTTATAGAAATAAAAGTTGTGTCATAGAAGTAAATCCAGTGGGCCTGGCAGATAGTTCAGTAGAATAAGCGCTTCCCTGGCAAGTGCAAGGGTCTGAGTTCAATGCCTGCTTCGGCAAAAAAAAAAAAAGAAAGAAAGAAAGAAAGAAAAAAAGAAAAAAAGAATAGAAAAAGAAGTAAATCCAGTGATAAAATTCAACTGTCATTTGTATTTTCCCTAAATACTCAATGGGATGGAAAGACCCTAATTATTCTAACATCTCAGAAGAAACTAAAATAGAGCTCATTAAGAGAACAAGATGGAACTCAAATTTTCAAGTCACATAATTCATAGAAACAGCCTCCTCTACCTTCTGTCTCTACCTGTGGTATATTCTATCCAGATGCTTAACATCGACTGCTTTCTGGAAATTAAAGCCCATGTGGCTCAGGCCACAGCAGTAAATCTGGAGGAGCAGATGGTCCTGAGTGAATGGTTATACTTCTGCATAAAACTTGGACGGTATTGGGTTCTATCCTTAGGCTTTACCCTTAGTAATGGAAATTACAGTGACAAATGAACAGCAGACTTTCATGCTTATATCAAAATAGTATGTTACGGTTTTGTTCACTGCAGTATTCTAAGTGAGCTGAGATTAAGCTCTGTGCCAGACATCAGACATTGAAATGTGTACACTCATTTATAGTCTTTTCTCTATTCAAGCACTGGAATAAGATAAAATGAGAATTGAGTTCTATAACCTAGTTAGGTTTTCCAGTGGACTTCAGGAACCATATGTTGAGGAGCTTTTTTTTCTTCATTTAAGACCATTATTATTCCACATATCAAAGAGATTTCATTGGTTTCCTACTCAATGCCATGCGACATTTTCATTTGCTGATTAAAGAGGAAAAATAAAAGAACTAGATAAGAAAATGTGAAGACACATTTCCCACATTGTGGTACTATGGGTCTGGTTTTTTACTCTCTCCTGGTGAATCTTTTTTCTAATAATTGTTGTTAAATCCAAATTCTTGAGATTACGAAATCTCTGAAATAAAAGTTTATTGAGCCATTATAGATGCTGGATGGAAAAGGACCGGGTCCTGGGACAAAGGCCTGCAGCTACCGGAGCTGGGAGTACGTTTCCTTAAAAAAAAAAAATTAAAAATAAAACTTGGGGAAGGAAAACACTATGATCTTTATAGGCAGAAGATAAGAGGGCAGAGGGCAGAATGCTGTAAAGCAGAAGAAGATTTGTGATAGCAGAGCAACTCATAATTCAATGATTTGTTGCTGCTAAATTGGTTGTGTTTCACATTTCACAAAGTAAATGGGAAGGGTAGTCCTAGCGATTGGATTTGGTGGGATTTAAGGTTTCAGAATGCACTAAAAAAATGTAGAATATATTTTTTTCTTTTTGGCCTGCACCTTGCTGCTGATTAATGCCCACTCAGTACTTTCCATCTCTCCTCTTCCTTTATCTCCCTTTTGTAATTCAAGCTAGGACAGCTCAGAGTTTTTCTGTGATCCCTGGCCTATGGGGAATTCCCACACACCTGTTTCCACAACTTCAGTCAATCCATGCTGTTTGTTGCTTGAAAATCACTGCGCGTCTAGCATGTTGAGCAAGCAAGCCAGGTACAGTTCTTATGTCTAGTGAATTTTAATTCATGCAGGGAAGACCTTTATGCATTCTACACTGAGTGGGAAAAAAGAAAGCTAGTAAGTTAATAATGACACTTGGGGGCCAGCCACGTAGCTCAGTGGATTAAAGCGCCTGCAAGTAGGCTCAAGGGCTGGGGTTCGATCCCCAGGGCTGCTTTGCTGGCCCCACCCCTGAGGCATGCTAAGACAGCAGTTGAGACTGGGTTTGGTGGTGTGCGCCTGTAATCCCAGCTTGTGGGAGGCTGTAAACAGGCAGATCACTACGAGTCGGATCTAGTAGTGAGACCCTGAACACCCTGTAAAATCTTTCCTAAGATAAAAAAAAATAATAGTAATAATAATGGCCCTTGGCTAGTGGTAGGGAAGGGTAAGGCAGGTGTGGGGAAAGCAGGATGCTTTTCTATATTGTTTAATGCATGTTTGCACGTGACTGCATCATCAGTGAAGAGTAGTGGTGAGGTGGGTGTGGTGGGTGGAGAGCCAGAGGGTCAAGTGATCTGGTGGCCACAGAGAAAGAGACCTTGATGTACAGGAGGTAAGCAGGAGATGGGTTTGGACTCGGGTGGGCGCATCCCCAAGCTCGCTCCTGTGTCACCCCTTTCCATAAGACATGAAAGCATGCTTCGGAGCTGGCCTTGACCGTCCTCTGCGGATTCTCTCTCATGAAGTGTTATCATTGCCATTCAGCTCTATCACCTTTTTATTCATTAAGTGCTTGCTCCTGTGTTCACAGTGATCCTCTGCTTTTGTTTTTCAGTGTTCCAACATTCCAGAGCCTTCCAGAAGAGATCCTGAGCAAGCTTGCGGATGTCCTCGAGGAGGTAATTGTTTTTAGCCTTTCAGCGTTTTGGTCCAGGTCCCAGCCTGCTAGGCTGGCTTCTTTCACAGCTGTGTGACAACAAGGCACAAACTGCAGAAAGATCTTCTTAATTGTCTTTTAAGCTCTGTGGTGAGCTATACGTTGGCTTCAGCTAAAAAGCAGTTTAGCACACCTGGAATTTCTACCCAGCTGGAAACTGGCAAATCGACTTAACTAGGGAAGGAAGAAAACTTTCTGTTGCAATGAATACAATGTTACTTTGACTTCTGAAAATAGGAGATGTAATTTTTTTCTCTTATTTCAATTAATAGAAAGTAAATCTATAGTTATCACCACCCTAAAACTTCAGATTAGCAAATTTACAACAGAAATTAGCAGTTGGATACATAATTTCCTAGCACGTGAGTGTATTTTATGCACATAATTACATGCTTGAATGTGGGATGTTAGGGTATTTTTTTTCCTGAGTCCATGAAGTCACAATTTTGAAAAAGAAGAGAAATGCTGCTCATCATCCATTAGGCTGCTGCTTCTTGGGACACCTCACTGAGCTCCCTACCTGAGCAGGAGTGGCAGGAACTCCTTTTACTTACACCCATGAGGCCCCTACCAAGTTGGAAGCAGGCAAGTGTTAGTGACAGAACTTCTTTTCAAGGTATTGGGCACACAAGGGGCTTTTGTTGCTGTTGAAAAGTTAAAAAAAAAATTGTTCCATTTTGTTGAGTAAGCATAGTGTTTTGGCAATCAAGAAGTATCTTTGAGGGCTGGCCAAGTAGCTTAGTGGATTAAAGCACCTGCAAGCAAGCACAGGGGCTGGGGGTTCAATTCCTGGACCTGTCCTGCCAGCCCCACCCACAGGGCACGCTGAGATGGCAGATTGAGACTGGGCGTGGTGGTGTGCGCCTGTAATCCCAGCTTTTGGGAGGTTGTAAACAGGCGGATCACTAGGAGTCCGATCTAGTAGTGAGACCCTGAACACCCTGTAGACCCTTCCCTAAAAAATACAAAAAAAAAAAAAAAAAAAAAAAAAAAAAAAAAAAAAAAAAAAAAAAAAAAAAAAAAAAAAAAAAGAAGTATCTTTGAAGGCCAAACTGTCAGAATGCCTAAGTAGAATGTTCTTGCTCAAGCAGGAAACATGGAAGGCAAACTTGGTATTAGAAAACACTCAGCAAAGAATAAATTCAGAAATTTAGAAGATTAGTCAGTAAAGCAGGCAACATCATGGCCATCAGGAAACACAGGCACTGGGGATGTGACAGGTCAGGTCTGTTCATTTTTTATTTTTCATTTATTCAGAGAGCGTTCACTGAATGTCACCTATAATCAGAGGCCTGAGATATAGCAGTAAAAACAAAATGGCACAATCATGCCTCCTCGCATTTACATTCTAGAAAGGAAGATTCATAATAACCAGTGCTTAAAAAATTGGAATTATATGAGCCAATAAATAAGGTATGAATTACAAAGACCATAAAGGAGAGGATCTGTACAGTCTGGGTATTGATGGAAGCATTTGAGAGATACCATGAGGTACCTTTGTGCAGTAAGAAATTGTTGTCTATGAGAAGGATTTTAGTAAACTGTGTGGAACCAAATGGGTAAAAATGGCACAATAATATGGTAACTGGAATGTAGAAGATACCTGGAGATAGTATCTTGAGGGCCCAGTAGGTGGAGTGAGATATTTTAATTTCATCCTCTTAGCCTTATAAGCCCAGAAGCAAAGAAATAGGGACAGGATCAGATTACTAAACATTAGGACATATTATAGATGGAGGCTTAAATGGGCAAATAACAGTGAAATAAGATGCAAATAGCCAGCCCTGAAGCAAAGGGGAATTTAGTAATGTGCTTCCTTGGCTGAATCTTATTTTCAGATTAACTTTTCTTATTATCTCCTTAGAATTCGGACTTAATGTTAGTTGTTTTTATCAATTCTACAGTCGTTTGTTGAATGCCTACTATTTTCTGTGGTATGCAGCAATGAGACAACCAAACCCCTGTCTGGGTGGAGTTTATATTATTTACATGGGGCTGACCAAAGGCAAGGTGGCAAAGAGGACCCGCAGGTGGAGAGCTGGGGTTGTAGATGGATGGAGCACTTGCGGCTGAGCCTGAGGCCCTGGGCGCAGTCCTGAGCACCACACACCGAAGGAATGAAAACAAATAGAAAATAATAACCTGAAAGGCACATTTATCTCTGCGTTAAATAGGCTTGAATACTAAGGAATGAAATTCCAGCAGGAAGGTGGTCTCTCATCACAGAGAAGAATTCCGTGAGAGGCATAGGCAGATTCATTAGGCAGTGCTGGAAAGGAGAAGAGGGAAAGAACTCAAGCGGGAACAGCTGGAGGGGGCTCACCATGATAAATATGTTCAAGCTGCCCCACTTATGGGACAGGAAGGCAGCTGTTTTCCTTTTCTTTTCTTTTCTTTCTTTCTTTCTTTCTTTCTTTCTTTCTTTCTTTCTTTCATGTATTTGGTACAGGATCTCACTATGCAGTTCGGACTCGCAGTGATCCTCCTGTCTCAGCCTCCACTGAGGTTACAGGTGTGCACCACCATACCCAGACTTGGTGGCAGCCTCCTAGGATCCCTGCTCTTGCCTAAGGAAGGCAGCTTTTATGGATTGGCAGAGATGGACCAGGGTCTGCTTAATTATTTCCATTATTTCTATTTTGGCTTTGCTACGAAAATGGCTCAAGATGAATCCTTAAGGCTTGAGAGAAAATTTGGTTCTTATGAGGTGATTGTTCTTGCTTAAGAGGGGCGGGTGTCATGGACTGGCTGGCTTTTCCTGGGACTTGAGTTGATTACAGGTTTATGACAATAGCTGGAGGCTTCTAGGCTGCGCCCCAGGGGAGTCGGGATTTTGACCTTACAAATGCTGGCACTAGGACAGCTCTGTAAATCCTGAAAATTACTTCAGTTACTCTTGTCCTGGTGTCCTCAGCCTTGAAAAAGAGACAGAGTCAGTAAATTTAGGGCTAACAAACCTTGTTACACAGGCACGTTTAAGTGATTGGTAGGTCTCTGTGCAGAGAGAAGCAGGCCGGGAGGTGAGTAAATTTCTTAAGGTAAGAATGGAGAACTTCCTTACCTCCGTGCCTTTATTTTCTGTCTTACCTCAAAGGTAAGGTGTATCCGAAGGGATACAGGAGCTGCAGATCCTGTGCCCTGTAGCTGATGTGGCTTTTCTTTGGAGTGAAACAGAGGCCTCTGACAGCTCTAAACAGAAGACTGGGCTTATTTGACTTGAGTTTTTGACAAGATTACTTCGATTGCTCGGTTGGGAAACAATTAAGAAGGCTGTTGTAAAATCCAGAGGGAAATGAGGATGGCTTTTTTCACTGTGGCAAAAGAAAATTGAAAAGCAGTCAGATTTTCACTTATCTTGATGGTGAAACTGAGAAACTTGTCTATTGAAGTTTGTGGGAGAGAGAAGTCAAAGAAAGGAGTAGGCAGACAGGAGGAGTGGACAGAAAGGAGTAATAGGTGCCACACAGGCCATGGACGGTGGGAAAGGTGGGGCTCTTATTAATTGAAAATGGAGAAAAGCTGGGGTGAGGAGCATTGGGGAAAAGAAACAGCAATTTCAGAGAGGTGGAATGCTGGGAAAGCAAAGGGTTTGGAGTCTTTGGCAAGGAGGAGGCGTGCTCCATCTAGGAGGACCAAAGGGTCAGGGGTCATGGGCTACCTGGGGGCCAAAGGGGGATGAGTACTTGGCAGAACCCTGAAGCAGGCAGCAGCTAATAATGATTGTAATAATGAGAATAGACCTCAAAAACCCAGTGCTGAGAGAAAACAAGCAATATAGTTACAGAAATATTGTGTACTACACAGTTAGGATATAGGAGCATGAGTACATTTTGCTAAGAAACACTATAAAACTGCAAGTTGGATACATGTGAATGGTTCTTGTAGCATAAGATAGAGGAGAAGACTATGCAGATAAAAAGGAAGGAAGGAAGGAAGGAAGGAAGGAAGGAAGGAAGGAAGGAAGGAAGGGAGAAAGGAAGGGAGAAAGGAAGGGAGAAAGGGAGGAAGGGGAAGGCCTTGATTGATCTGTAGTATTTCCAATATAGGACAGTGAGAGTGAAGAGAAACCGGTGCCAGCCTGTGAAAATAGGAGAAAAAAAGCAAAAGTACTTTGTGCCTTATCTTCAGGGGTGGAAGTGGTTTTAGGAAGAGTTAGCCAAATCCTGAAGTTTGTAGAAAACGCAAGAAGAGAAATGGGTGTGGCAGGCATGAAGGGAAGACTGCGGCCAGTAGGCGGTAGGTCCTGGCCCTCGTAGGAACTGCTGAATTATCACGGTGCTCATCTAATATGGCTGAAGAAAGCAGCTTACTTCCCAGAGACCACCTGCCCGGTCCTCTCCAACCCAGCCCAGGGTGCAATTCCCTTTCACCTCTCCCACCTTCACACGGAAGACCCCAGTCAGCTCCTCAGGTATTTCTAAACATCCCCCACAAACTCCACCCCTAGCAAGTCCACAGAAGGCCCAGCTTTGTCTCAGGCAGGAGGCTCAGCCTGACCCATCTGCCCTCAGTCCTCTCCGGGTCTTTAGAGTTAAAAGCTTCTTTTATTTTTCCTAGCCGTTTGCGCCTTGGAAAAGCCTACTGATGCAGGGGCGCAGGAAAGGCCGCAGAAGCAGGATGCGGGAGGGAGTGGGTGCAGCCCATTGCATAGGTGCAGTGGGTGGACCCCAGCGCTAGGGAGAAGGGGGGGGGCAGGGCGCCTGGGCCCCGCGGGAGCTGGGCTGCGGGGCGGGCGACCAGGGCCGTGCGAAGTGCGCTGCAACGCTGTCTTTTTTCCAGAGACAGACGAGCAAGGCATCCACTGAGAACAATAATGGGATAGAGGAAGGAGTGGTTTAAAGATTAAGAAAAGTCTAAAGCGCAAAGGAACTAGGGAAATGGAATATCGTCACGTGGTGTCGTCCAACCCCCATCTGGCGTGAGCAATTTGCAGTTTAAGTTAAACAGGCCAACAAGGAAAAT